GAAGTACCAAGCAACAACGTCTATTATTCATAAAGTGCAGCAATCATGAGGAAGATAGAAGAAAATTTGGGTTTGAAGAATGTTGATCTATGAGGAAGAGTGTTCGATAATTTTTTCCCTTGATTTTAGGAGATAACTTATACTTAGTCTATAAATATGGAATTGGAAATGTTATACAGTAAAAAAAAAAAAAAAAATCCTTACAAGGCGATCAATGTTTATCAACAATTTGACATCTAAAAGTATTTTTCCGTATCTCTTAACAATTGTTTTTGATTCTAATATTCTCTAAAACGTATTGTCAAAAGACGCGATACTAGTTATTAGACCTTGTCCAAGGTCTAGAAAGTATATCCTATCTTGATAGGGTTGAGAAAAATCAATCAATTAAAAAATGGGTTAATTTCACCAACGGTCATTGAACTTATCTAAAAATTACAAAACGGTCACTAAAGTTTAAAACTTGCAGAAACGGTCGCTGAAGTTTTATGCGCTTTTACAAACGGTCACTGAAGTTTTAATTTGTTTCACAAACGATCATTGAATGACCATTATGATTTTAATTCAAACTTAAAGGACCAAAACACGTGGGCATAGAAGCTTGACCACCTCAAGTGCAAATTTCTTGCTATTAAGTGCCACATTTGGAGCCTCAAATCACCACCTTCCGACCACCAAGACCACCAGATTCTATCACCAAGACCACCGGATTTGATCACCACCAGTCTCGCCTCGCTCTCCTTTACAGCCTCCAACCAACCATCAGCCACAAAACATCAGGAATTAGCAGAAAATCGAGCCCAAAAACCCCATCTCGCGAACTCATTTTCTGCCAGAAAAGCTACCTCCAGCGATGCCCATGTTATTTGGTGATTAATTGGTGCAATTGATTCATGACCCAGTGTATTACCCACTTGAATTGAATGTATCAAGGCCGAATTTGACGATTGGGGTAGTGTAGAAACCTCAATCGATGGAGGACAAACAGACTGCTTTGCATCCACATTGAACCCAAATTACTGATGACACGTGGTTGGAGTAGATACCCATGAATGGAGGATGCCAGAATAGGTGGTCGGCGATTGTGGGGACCACCGTCGTCGCCGAAAAATGTGATTATTGGCTGCAAGTCATTGATTCGAAATTCTGCTGTAGATTTAGATTTTCTGTGTTATTTGATGTAATAGGACCATGTATGAATGCGCCATGCTGAGCTTGAGCGACATGTGGGGTGTTATTAACATGGATGTCGCCGGAGGTGGGTTTTCCAACAGAAAAAGAGTTCGCGAGATGGGGTTTTTGGGCTCGATTTTCTGCTGATTCCTGATGTTTTGTGGCTGACGGTTGGTTGGAGGTTGTAGAGGAGAGTGAGGTAAGACTGGTGGTGGTCGGATCCGGTGGTCTTGGTGATCGGAAGGTAGTGATTCGAGGCTCCAAAGGTGGCGCTTAATAGCAAGAAATTTGCACTTGAGGTGGTCGAGCTTCTATGTCCACGTGTTTTGGTCCTTTAAGTTTGAATTAAAATCATAACAGTCCTTCAGCGATCGTTTGTGAAACAAATTAAAACTTCAGTGATCGTTTGTGAAAGCGCATGTAACTTCAGTGACCATTTCTGTAAGTTTTAAACTTCAGTGTCCGTTTTGTAATTTTTTTGGTAAGTTCAGTGACCATTTGTGAAATTAACCCATTAAAAATAGTTAACGTCAGAGCGCTGCATTTTGCTTGATTAAAATCAAGATTCGATATACGAGTAAGATATAGAACAATTCAATTGACTTTAGAAGGTTACCACTCATCTTTTTATCACAAAGATTTACGTCTTAAAGTTGAAAGAGTACAATATAAACGAAAATATTGTGCCATTTGTATCGATTTACATTTTTCAGCCTCCAACGAATACACAAAAGCTTGGGTTGAAGACTATGCCCATAAACAAAGTCCAATCCTTCCTGCTTACATTGAAAAATATATTTAAATAATGTTTCCACATTACATTCTGTCTGAATTTCTAATAATAAAAATAAAATTTTCAAATACTTAGTCTAATTTTTTACTTCATCTTAGTCATGAAATTGATACATGCCTTAAACCATGCAGGTTTGCCGATTACACTGCTTTCAATATAATACATGCCAGCTGAAAATTTTTGTTACGTGTTATTTTACTATACTAAAACTTTGAATGTCTCATGGTACATGGTGATGAAGATGGACGGGGACAGATTTAGGACCGGAATATAGGCCGGACTAATACGTAAAAAAAAAGGGGATTATGCTATGTATACACAATGGTGTACACAATCGTCTACACCCCCCTCACATGGAGGGAGCTTGCACGCAATAAAATATGTGTGGGCCCTCCTCCATGTGAGAGGGGTGTAAACCATTGTGTACACTATTGGGTGTACACATAGTTTAATTAAAAAAAAAAATTACACAAGAAAATTTTTTTTTACATAAATTTTTTTTTTCTACTAAAAATTTTTCAACGAGCTGGGGGATGGACCGGGCCCTAGATCCGTCAATGAAGATGGATATGATTTTAATTTAGCATATGTTTTATTTTTGTTAAAAATCAAACTTTTAATAAAAATTAATAAAAGTGTAATTGAAAGGATGATAAAAGTTACTAGTTGCATGAAATGTCAAATGTGAGATTAAAATTAATGTTTATTGTAACTTAGGGACTAAGAAGCAATTTTAAGCCGTCGAACTGTAATTCTGGGGATTGCTTTTGATTGAATAAAAATTATAGTTTTGACATTTTCACTAAATTCTAGCCAAAAATTGCCAAATATCTCACTTAACAAACTAACCCAAGGTGGACTTGCGTAAGGTCAAGGTCATCGAGACGGGACGAAACGAAACGTAACCTTCTCACGAGCTGGTGGCGAGGTTGGACCACATCGATGAGGCATCCACCCCAGGAGATAAAATAACCTAAGGCTTCGGGTGTCCGAACACTGACGGGCCGGCCCTGAAAATTATAGTAGCATTAATTATTATTATACTTCTCAACTTTATTTATGACTCTTGAGTAGTTTTATGCACTTATTACACTTTAGATCTTCAACGTCAGTCATAAAGTGGCATAAATAAGTAAAAGGACTCCCACAAGAAGTCCATATCCTACATTATTTCTCACCAACCGACCCTACTTCGAGTAAATTTTGTGCATTAAGTACATGTTTAATATGTTAAATTGACATAATGAAAACAAATTTTCATGAGTTTTGCTACACAAATGTAATGCTTGACATAGGGGATGACACAACATACACACAGGAGGTCGGCATTATTTAATTCAGGTCGGGATCCACATGCAATGTGAGTGGTCGATCAACCCCAATGTCAAGCATTATGTTCATTTAGTTTAATTCTTCTCCGTCACCACTTCCATCTTCCGAGGCTAATTCGTTGTCACTTCTTTATTCTTAGGCCTCCAAAAGATAATTTTACGATGGAAATGGTGGCGGGCACTTGTTCCTCATCGAGTGGCCAATTTTCCAGCTTGTTGCAACCAAGGGAAGTGCCTAAAAATGGTTCGATCGAATTATGTATAGAATTCTACGTGACAGGATATTAACAAATGGAGAAGATATCTATGTTCGATGGAATCGATGCAATTAGATTAAAATTAATTAAGTACTTGCTCGTCGGTATGAAAGTCTACTATTTTTCTACTTTATAAATTAGCACCATTGCTCCATCTTTTTAGACTAAATATGGATTCCACTGAATGTGTGGATAATAATGATTAATGAATAGTAATTATAAATATGTTGAAAACAATTGTGGAAAGATTTCATAACTAAGATGTTAAATTTCATTCATTTCAAATTTAAGAGATTAATGTTTAAAATTTCAAATTTCAGATTTTTTAAAATTTCAAATCTCAGATTTTTTTTTAAATTTTTTTTATAAACTAATTAATTAAACATACATTTTATTAATTAAATATATTAAGATCACAGTTCTATATAATTTGGTCACAAATTACAGATTTTACATGTCGCAAAATATTTTACGATCACAACTCAAAAAATTTATAAGTCACACTTTGCTCATCGGTCACAAATAAAAAATTGAAACGTCAAAAATTATTTTACAATCATAATTCAAAAATTTTATATATCACAATTTGTTCATCGGTCACAAATTAGATATTTTATAGGTCATAGATTACTTGTTGATCATGAATCAAAATTTTATAGGTCACCTCATTTATTTATTGCAAATTATTAAATTAATTAATCACAATTAATTTCTGGATCACAACTTATCAAATTATTGGTCACAACTTATTTTTGGGTCACAAATCAAGAATTTTAAAGGTTGCGTGTTATTTCTCGATGACGTATGAAAAAAAATTTAGGTCACAAATTATTCATTGATCACAAAATCAAAATTTTTATTGGTCACAACTCATTTATTCATTGCAAATTATCAAATTAATTGATCACAAATAATTTCTCGATCACAACTTATCAAATCGTCGGTAACAACCACAATTTTTAGGTCACATATTATTTATTTATCACAATTAACCAAATAATTGGTCACAAACACCCAATCTCATCCCGCCATTGTCACACCGTCAACAACATATCAGATCCAAAATCGCCATCACCTCACAACCGTCGTCGCTGCCTCCACCGTCATCGTCATCACCACCACTACCATTTTCAGCTACCACCACAACTATCATTTCCAACCTACACACCTTCACATACATATTAATAAGAAACCATCACGGTGCCAACACCTCATTGCCCCAGCTAGATCCGACACCATCACCGTGACCAACCATCGCAATCGTTGCCACCAGATCCACCACCACCATCAAAACCACATCACCAGCATCGCCAACACCAACAAAACAGATCAAAAATCGCCCAACACCCCATAGCTGTCATCACGTCACAACCGTCGTCACCGCCACAATTTTCAACCACCACCACAACTCGATTTCTACCAACAAAACAGATCCTCACCAACACGGCCAACACCAACAAAACAGATTCAAAACTGCCTAACACCCCACAATCGCCATCAGGGGCGGATACAAGGGGGGCTTGGCTGGGCTATAGCCCTCCCTCAAGGCCCAAAAAAAAAATTTTTTTTAAGTTTTTTCCTTTTTTTTCTTAAAACAGTTTTTCATGTGTAAAATTTTTTTTTTCACGTATTAGCCCGGTTTGAAATTTTGTAGCCCAGTCTTAGATTCAATCCTGGATCCGCCCCTGGTCGCCATCACGTCACAGCCATTGTCGCCGCCTCCATCGTCGTCGCTATCACCACCACAACTCCATTTCCACCCCCACACACCTTCACATACCTATCAACAAAAAACCAATTGGTACCAACACCTCAACGCACTGCCTGATCTCCCACGACCTGTGCTACCACCATCACCGCGACCAACCACCGTACATCGTTGTCACCAAATCCACCAACTTTAGCACCAGCATCTCTACCTAACTGTAGCATTGGCATGGCGAAGCCACTCTGCGACTGCGGCTGTAGCACCACCATTACTACGGAGTCGATCTGCTTCACTTCGCTGCATGGTGGTGATGGCGGTGGTTTCGATTTGAGAGTAAAGAGACGATGGGGAAGAGAGAGAGAGAGAAGTTACAGGATGGAGAGCAAAATATGAAAATAATTAGGGTTTTGCGTGGGTGGTTGGATTGAGTAGGTAGATATGTGTATTAATTTAATTTTATAATATAATTATTAATATTAAAAATTTTATTATTATATCTTTAAATCTGAATTTTGAAATTGGAAGTTGAAAAGTTGGTATGGTGTAATTTCCACTTGTTTGAATTTGATTGAATTAACAGAAGGCGTTGATGGGCTTTCGTTACCTTTATGGTCCAATTAAAAGCCTAATAGGGGCAACCTAATTCTGACTCAGATAAGAGAGTTGGCCCAACCCCATACCTCAAGAACAATACATAAATCCTATATATAAGGATTACATTTCAAAAATAACAAATTTCAAAAATCTTTTAAAAAATCAGGTGTTAAATCAATTAATTAAATATTTTTAATTATAATATAATACAATTACCCAAATTTATTAAATTTCAAATCCAAATCATTCTCTCTCTCTACTCTCTATCCTCTCCCTATCCCTTCTCTCCATCGGAGGCAACGATCTCTCCAGCGGCTACTCTAGTGACAGTTCCTGTGATCTCTCCGACGATCGTTCCGGCGATCTCTCCGACGACAGTTCCGATAGCCGCTCCAGCGACTATTTCGAAGATCACCCCGACACTCTCTCCAGCGGCTATTCACGATCCCTCTGGAAAACTGCTCCAATGACCACTCCAACGCATGCTCCGATCAACCTACCCACCCCATCCACCCGTTCCCAACTTCCAAAAAATTTCTAGAATTTCAAGTCACAATCGGTCATAATTGGTCACAAACGGTCACAACGAGTCACAATTAACCAGTCACAAATGGTCACTGGATGCTGTTTCCAGGACGTGGATGAGTTTGTTTAAACAAACAAAACATGGGGAAAAAAACAATCTGCACATCGATTTGGATCAAAAAACCATCAACAAACTCCAGCAATTCAAAAATCAAATCTACTTGGCAAAAAAGGGCTATCAAAAATAAAGTTTACTTTTCAAAAACCACGACCACCACGACGCACCACCACATCTACAGACAACACCACCGTACAAATAGATGAGAGAGAGAGAAGACCCCGGCAGTTACAAACACTCGTCCCACACTCTACCCGCCACCGACATCGCTACCAACCCACCTCGCCGTCACAACCACACACAAATCACAAAACTACAATCGTCGAAAAACCCCAGCAGCGAAGCTCATCACCCAAAACCACAAACTACAGACATTATCGGCGCTCAACTACAAATCACAACCCACAGTTCGACAGCACCTCAACGTTGCTCAGATCGAGAAGCGACCTTGCCTGCGGTGGCCCTGCGTGCAGCTGTTCGAAGTGACAGTGGCCCTTCGACGGCTTGGAGTGACGGGCAGCAGCAGACGCCGCTCAGTGGTGGTTGTCACGTCGCTACTTCTTCAAAGTGACGCCGCTCGATGGTGGCGCCTTGAGCATGATGGTGGTGGTGGCGTAGACGAAATCGGTGACGCTACTCCACAATGGCTATCGGTGGGTGATAAGAGATGAGAGAGTGAGAGAGAGAATGAGTACTGAGAGAATGGTGGGTGAGATTTTGAAATGAATGGTACGTGGGGAAGGGGGTTAGATGAGGTGAATATGTAGAGATTATATTTAATTAAAATTTTATTAATTATAATTATTAAAACTTAATTACCACCTGATTTGTGAAATAAAAATTAATCCACATATTTTTTGAAATTAAAATTTTAAAAGTAGGTTTCTAGGTAATTTTCTCCTCGTTCCTCTCCCTGCCTTCGATGGGCTATCCGTACCCTTCGTGGTCCAATTAAAAGACCAATAAGAGCAACCCAATTCTGACTTAGATCACAGAGTTGGACCAGCCCAAAACATATGACGATGTTTCTCTCCCCACCCTTCGATAGTCCAATTTAAAGGGAAATTACAAAAAATCAGGTGTTTAAAGATACTTTTTTAGAAATCAGGTCCATAATTTGTATATTCAAAAATCAGGTATCATTTGAATATTTAAATAATATTATAATACTAATAATTCACACCAACCCTAATTCATTTTTTCTATCACTACCCTCTCTCTCTCTCTCTCTCCCCCTCCTCCTCATCCGCCCTATGTTCAGTAGCGCGACGGAAGCGCTAAATTTTGGACCTGTCATGACTGCTCCGCCGCCGGCAGTGACGGCTGTGTCGCCTCAACCACCACCAGCCAACAATAATGTGGACTACTTGTTTGGATTGGAGAAAGGGGTTAGGATGGCGCCTCAACTGCTGCAGAAGGTTGAGGTAGACGATTGTTTTGAAGAAAGGTCGATAGGGCCAGATCTAATTCAGCAGCACATTTAGGATCTGAACAAGCAGAGAATTGAGGAGCAGCAAGGAGTTTATAGAAGAAGAAATGATGAAAATCTCGTCGGAGGATTTGTCGGAGGTGATTATTACAAGGTACCGGAGAAATTATCTCCTGTTTTCGTTCCTAGTGGTCCTCCTGGATACTGGCAGGAGAAGCAGTTCACCGGAGGAGTTTTCCCGGCTAGCAATATCAACACAGAATAGCTGGTTTACATGATTCTAGCTCCTGCGGGTGTGTACCATGCCCCGATGATGAGACCAGTGAGTGGACCAGCTGGTCAGGGTTACTACACAGTTCAAAGGATGCCATCAGAGGTTCACCAGGATTAGCAGGTATCTTTAAACACCTAACCTTGAAACCAGGTGGCAGATCTATTGTTGGTGGTGGTGGATCTGTTGTTGTTAGGGTTCAGTTTTCGTCCTGTGGCTGGTTAGTTTGTGTTGGTTGATCTGTGACCTATGACCACATGGCTGTAGTATGTGATCAAATGTTTGGTAATCTGTGACCAAATGTTTGATAATATCTGTGACCAATTACTCAATTGCGACTTAAAAATTTAATAATACGTGACTCAAAAATAATCTGTGACCAATTAATTTAATAATCTGTGATCTCGAAATAATCTGATGTGACCTTGAAATAATCTGGGATAAAAAAAATTGACGATATGTGACCAATAAATAAATCTGTAACTTATAATTATGAATATATGATCATTAATAACAAATTGTGATTTTATTATCTTTATTTAATNCCCCCCCCCCCCCCCCCCCCCCTCCGATCACTCCTACCGTCACTCTCCCAAATCCAATGAAGCGTTTTTTTGTTTCAGTTTCGCTCAATTCGCAAGCGAATTATTTCTTCCACAAAATAATCGGTAAGCATTTTTTTAGCTCAAGTTCAACCCGTGTTCGAAACTCAGAAAATGGGTTGGAATCGAAGTCATTGTATAGGAGAATCTCGCCATTGGGTGACCCAAATGTCTCCGTAGTGCCAGTCCTCGACCAGTGGATCAGAGAAGGCAATACTGTTGATAAATCACAGCTTCGACATATAATCAATGAGTTGAGATTTTACAAAAGATTCAAACATGCGCTTGAGGTTTGCTTATTATTATTATTATCTCTTCTTTATTTTTGGTTTTAGGTTGAGTTTTTGTTGATTTAAGCTAATGGGTTAGTTAAATATTTTGTTTTGATTTAATTTTAATTATTCGCATCTTGTTAATGTTTTACCCTGTATTTTTGTGGTGTGTGTACAAAACTTTTTGCTTCATCCATTGGACCATTGGCCTGTATATTGTGGTTTCTACTGTTTTCAGTAGAAGATATTGATATTAGAGCTTGTTTGGATAAGCTTAAAAGTAAGTAAAAGTTATTTTATTTCCAGGCATGTTTTGAGAGGCTGCTTAAGAAAAAAGCTTGGCCAAGCATGCTGTTTCAAGATAAGTTTTTGAACCATTAAAAGTTAATGTTGCCTGAAAAAAGGGACAAAAATTGGTGAATCGATAAGATATATAATAACAACAATGATTGAATAGAAATTTAGGTAAGGATTCTAGGAAATGCTATTTCTGAAGAACATTTAAAAGCAACAATATGCTCCCCTTAACCAAATTTGAATTTGTTTGAGAAAATTATCTAAAGAAGTAAATGTTGCGATGATGATCTGATGTATAGAGATTAGCAATATTGCAGTATCATTATCATATGAATCAACCTCCTGAGTTCTTCTCGTAATATATGTTCAGGTATCTAGATGGATGACTGATAAACGTTACTTCCACATGGATTCTTTTGATGCTGCCATCCGAATGCGTTTATTGTTTAGTGTTTACGGTTTAGAACAAGTTGAGAATTATTTCGACACCATCCCAGCAAATTTGAAAGTCATTGCTCATGTTGCCCTTCTTAACTGCTATGTGCTTGCTAATTCTGTGGATAAAGCAGAGGCCATTATGCAGAAAGCTAGGGACATGGGTTATGCTTCTAATCCAGTATGGTACAATATTATGATGAAACTCTACCATCAATTGGGAAACTGGGAAAAGGTTGATGGTTTAATCAATGAAATGGAAGAAAAGGGTATTCCTCTTGATCGATACACACTCACCATTCGTTTGCATGCTTGTGCTACGGCTTCTGATCCTGCAGGAATAGATAAAATTTTAAGTATTATGCAATCTGATTCCAGCATTGTTCTGGACTGGAATGTGTATGCTATTGTAGCTCAAAAATGCTTAAGAGTGGGTTTTGTGGATAAAGCACTGGAAATGCTGCATAAAGTGGAGAGTTTGATGGGTGAAACTAAGAGAAAGCATTTTGCAGTAATTTTCATCCTGAAACTCTATGCAGAAATGGGCAAGAAAGAAGAGTTATATCGAATATGGAATGAGTACAAACAAAACAACAAAGTCCTTAATAAGGTTTACATGCGCATGATACGATCGTTAATGAAGTTTGATGACGTTGAAGGCATTGAGAAGATTTTTGAGGAATGGGAATCGAGAGGATTATCCTATGATTTCCGTATTCCCAACTTCTTGATTGATGCATATTGCAGGAATCGTCTTTTGGAGAAGGCTGAAGCTCTTTTAGAAAGAGGAATATCGAAAGGGGGTGATCCTAATGCAATGACATGGCGCCATTTGGCTGGTGGATATATCATGAGAAATCAAGTTTCGAAAGCTGTGGGAGCATTAAAGAAGGCAATCTCAACGAATTTTCCTGACCCCAACAACGACACCTTGATCACCTGCGTTGAATATTTAGAAAGGAAGGAAGACGTCGAAAAGTTCACGGGATCTCTTCGTGCAGAGGGGGGTATTTCGTCCGCAGCTGTGGTTGATGAATTGTTTTCTTTTATTAAGAATGAGAAATTAAATTCTTATGAACAAAGCAAAAGTTGAAGGGCTTCTTGTGATTTCACTTGCCTGGTAAGTGATGGCTTATAGAGTTGAAATCGTCATGTTATCAAAGCTTGGATTGGATGCTTCGTAATCAAGGATACATGGGTTATCGAATCTCAACCATTGTGGATGCTAATCTTTTTTAGTGCTGCTGTGTGATAGGAGAATTAACTTAGCCTATGCACGAATAGAAAACGATGCAAGTCGAGCTGTATCGATCCTTGTAGTTATGAATGAACTTAATTGTTACTCGGAGCTTGGAATTTTTTTTCGAGGGTTATTGCTAAAATTTTATAGATTAGTAACTAGAGAGCATAAACAGTCCAGGGGAACCATTAAGTTACCGTTCCATTTGTATATGCTTTCCCCATGGACTTGGTGGCGTGATAGTCCCATTGGCAGGCTATTTCATGGTTTAATCAATTGGTGTGCGAATAAAATTAACTGTCTTGTCACTGAATATTCCGCTCAAAAGTTGCAAGGCACATAACTTAGCCTTATGCCATGTTTGGTACGGTATTATGGAAAAAAAGAACTTAAAAAGTTTAATCTATCATACCCTTTTGCTCTTATAACATCCACGCTTATATCATGAGAAAACAAAAAGATTAAACAAAGCCGTCTCAAGCAGCATCTCTGACTAATTTTAAATAACTATATCAGATATGTTCAGGGAAAATGGAGAAGAAAGTAAGTAAACATACAGCCTACTGCCCGTCCCCAACCCCTGGGGGCATGGGCTGTGGAAGAGCTGTTAAAAAACATCGGTGGTAAATAGCCAGCCATTTGAACAAAAGTCCTGATTAAGCTGCAACAGGTATCTTTTCTTGCTTTTCTTTCTTGTCCGTCTTCAAAGATGGTATCTTCTCTTTCTTCTCCGTCTTCAAAGATGGCATATTTTCTGGCTTCTCAATCCCTGATATATCTGTTATCCTCAATTTTGTCAATTCCTGAAACAGGGAGACGATGGGAACCAAATTTAAGGTTTTAATTAGAGAATAACCTATCTATTTCTTTGGACATGTAGAAGAAAGAGCCAGAGCGTGCACAAGAAGAAACAGAAAAGAACAATATTAATGAAGTAAAATTCTAATTGATAAAAATTTCAATTACCTGGCGATGTCCTTTGGTTCTTCTATAATTCTTCCTTCTCTTTTTCTTAAATATGATCACTTTCGCATCTAGTGCCTGCAAGATGAAATGGTGCTTATCAAAGAAGAAGCAAGTAGTAGCCCTGAATCCTTGTCTTCCATGAAAGGGATAAAGATGCTTAGACTTGATTGGCACCGTGAGAGGGCTAGGCAAGGGGGATAAACCATAAGATCGTTCACCCCTCCATCAATAAGCAATTACTTTCAAACAACAGTTGCAGCATTGTTAAACAATCACATAGATTATCAACTCATTTAAACTTTCAAGTTTTTAACTCTTGACCTCCACAAGAAGCATCTCTGTCTCATAAAGACACCTTATCCAGTCCATAGGATCACCTTTTTTTTTTTTTTTACACGCCTTTTAAGTTCATTATCACTCATGTTAAAATTAATCATAATGTTTTCTCCATATATTTACGAACCAACATCAGAGAAGAAAACAAAACGACGAGTGTCATGAAGCTTATAATTGCCATATTCACTGCATAGCTCACCTAACTCTACAATCATCTTTGGAATTTCCTCTGGATAAGAACTTGAGAAATAAGATTCTCTGGTTTGTAAAGGAGATCAGAGGATGATCTTATCATCAGTAAAGTTTGGTCCACCAGAATCTTGTTTATGAATTGATTTTTAAGTATACATAGGGAGGAGCCGAGAGCAATAGATTCAATTCAACTACAAAATATGTGTATTATATATGAAACATAGCCAGATCTCACACAGGTTGCAGAAAAATGTAATATTCAATCTTATCTTACATGCTCCTCAACAACAGCATGAACAGCAGCATCCAGCAAAATTGGTCGACCAATGATTGTTTGAGTTTTTGATCCCAACATAAGAACCTTATTGAGGATCAACTGAAACAGAATGGTCAGCAATTGCATCAGTTGACATTCCCAACAGAGTCACTACAAATATTAAATAGCTGATATCGACAAATAGATAATTAAACAAATTCAACTTGAAAATATATGAAAATGTATACTACTACATGAAAAACCGTATTTCAACAAGTTCAAGATAGAACATCCACAAATTAGTTTAATGCGCAATATCTCCTAAACCTCCGATCAATAACATCCAGTGTAGTGGCACTATGTGATTTTGACATAACAAAATAGCAATGTACATCTCAAAGCCTTGGATATTCCATAACAAGGTCAAACACTACAGGCAATAAGACAACATTGTTATTGTACCTCAAATGCCCTATCAGCTAATGAGCTATGCCCCTTCAGAAGTCATGATAACTAGAGAAACAGAAATTTTAGTCGAAAATTTGTGAGCAATCGTATCTACCGACGTCAAATTCCAATTTTTAGTTTAATTGGACCTAAATCCAAAATATTACCCAACCAACTGAAGGCCTCGTGTGACTTGTGCACTATCATGGACATGAGCATTAAGTCTACAACCATCTGTGACATATAGCTAGTCATTACAGCCACGAGATTCCCGCACCACTTATTCTACAGGGCCAAGCTGTAATTGATCATCCATCTTATTTTCATTTATAATCCACTACAGGCGGAATGATGCTGTAGAAAAATACGAAACTTTGGTCCATTTTAAACTGCACAAGGTTTTGCTTTAGAACAAAGAATTAGTAATGCTGAGTCCAAGATATTTGTTAAGTATTGTTGCTAATAAAGTTCAAACTATCAAAATTTTCCATTTCATAGAACTACAAGATAAGTTATAAGGAGAGAGAAGAAGTATCCTAGATGTCATCTTATAAGAAACAAGAAATATTTTTTCCGCACTTCTGATAAATAATAGGACCAAGAGAAGAGAATCAATGCAAAAATGTGAGTTCAATAACCTTGTCATTAACGTCGCAGTACTTCAATTTCTCTGCGTATATGCAATCCCCATTGCTCACCTTAAACTGATGTGACCCAATCTAAGCAACAGACAACAACAGCAGAAAAAATAATTTGAGCAAACACTTTTACACAAGTGTCCGTTGCGATATTTACAAGAACACAATTATTCTGCTGAAGGAACGAAAAAGTACAACATTAACAAGAAGTAAATCTTTTAAGCTTGACCAAACATGCTCTTAGCTACCACTTCCCTAAAACTCAAGTAAAATTCAAATCTTGGTCCAAAATTCAACAAAATTCGAAGAAAACAAAAGACAAATGAAAAAATTGAGCGGGATTTTTCAACGAACCTGAACCACAGCAAAAACCGGTTCGTATGGTTTGAAGACCCGGTCAGACTTTTGAAGCGGACTTACTACTTTGTACCCGATTTCCGCTGCCTCTTTTTCTTTATCCTCGGGAGACAATACAGCTCTTTCATTTTCCCTCTCATCATCCGCACTCTCTCTGTCTTCTCCTTCACTTTCGTAATCATCATCCTCATCTTCTTCTTCGTCAGTATCATCATTTCGATTTTTGGAACAGAAGTGCCGGAAAAATACACTCTGTGCGTTAATATCATTACTGTTGAATAAGCGATGTAGTGATTTGGGAGTCGAGGCGGAGTGGGGAGTGTATTTCGAGGTAGGCGCAAGAAATTGGGGATTCAGGTGCGGAGCTCGGGTTCTTAGGAATTGGAGATGACGATTTAGGTTTTGAATACAACGTCGATTCGCCATTGTTGTGTTGAATTTCGTTTCTTGAGAGAGTAAGGGTTTTTGATCAGTACAGTAAAGAAGACTATTGCTTTGTAGGGTTTAAAAGTTTTCCTTAATTATTCTTGAAATCGAGAGATTTTTGGAACCTAAAGTCGTTAGTCACTAATGCGATTTTGCCTATTTGAATTAACCAAAAAATATTAGGCCGTTTTCATATTGGTCATTTTAATTCCTTAAAATTAACTTAAACCCTACTTTTTGAGTTTCAATTTCAAAAATCAGGTATAATGATTTTTTTTTTTTTCAATAATCGGGTAAAAATTACTTTTTAAAAACATGTATATCATCTCTCTGACTCTCTCTCTCTCTCTCTGTTGCAGCCAAAGCCGAAAGCGAAATGATTTAGGGATGGTGCGAAGTCATGCACTACTTTTTTACGACGATGTCATGACATTGTTCTTGAATTCCGACACTCTAGTCGATTTACACTCCCTCCAAATCGACGAGTATGACGTCTATCACCTATTAGTCTCCCCTCCGCCTCGCCACAATCGAAAACCCTAATTGAAGGATAGATCTGTCAGTCAATTCAGAGAGAGTGCCAATCGCCAAGGCATCATCGAAATTCACAAACCACACCATGACATTGTCATAAAAAAGCAGCGCATGATATCCCACAAGCTCTCAATCCTTTCCGCTTTCTACTCTGGTTGCAAATAGAGAGAGTGTATATATGTTTTTTTTTTTTTAAATAATTATCACTTGATTGCAAAAGTAGGATTTAAAGTAATTTTCTCAGCATTAATTGCAAAAATAATAAATGACAACCACCTATAAGGAATGGAGCAACCACTGATAATTATTAGAAAAATTATGAATATGTACAACAAAAAATGGATAATTTAATATCGTACCATTTTCAAAAATTATAGAAAAACAAAATAAAAGCTGCTGTGTAGAAGCATAACTATAAGACTCAGCTTGCACAAATTCCTATCCCTGCAATGAATTATCTTGTGCCAGGGTAGGAAAGAATAAAAATTTGCCTAGAACAAATTTTTTTTAAGTTGCAGTGATACCCTTGCTGCCGGCATTGACTTTCCGGTGACGCCTCGATTTCCGGTCTCTCCCACGCTTTGTGGGAACCTTCTTGATTGGACTACTTACAATATTGTCAGTATAAGTCCCGGGTGGGGAGTTCAGTTTTTCATCGATAACTGGGGGTGGGGGATGAACGAGAACAACAGCGTCTGGAGGAGGGGGAGCCCAGTTCTCAAGCAAATCTCTGTGGTACCCCTGCAAAAATAAAAAGGTCATAAAGTCACGAGATCCACCAAAAGCTTGCAATATAGTTACAACAACAAATGAAGCCTCGTTTCCTGACTAAAGTAGCCAGGCCATCAGAATAAGAAGGGCCTTCAAACAAAATCATGACAAAGAGGTAACATGAATCCTTTATCACCACTCAATTGAGTACATTGTGTATTTTGATATTTTTCATATTAAAAGGATCATTTATAAATCTCGACCGCGGCCAGATTATTTCATTTCCTTCTCAGTCTATGCTTCAAATCGTGGAGAAGATCTCCTATTTAAGAAATCAGATCATTATCAAACGAATCAAACAATGAGAATGTGTTAGCCTGTCATCTACATACGGGAAAGAAAGAAATGACAAAATAGCAGCAGTCACTCTTCAAAATTGCTACGAAAAGGCAGATCGTATTATTTCTTTTTCTTTGATAAGTTAATGGGAGATCATAAACAGGGAAAGAATGCATGATATTTGAAAGACGGTAGATTACCTAAAGGGAAAACAAGATGTGAAAGCAGTTTATAGGTGGTCAATAAAGTATAAAATAGTTGATTTCATAATCATGGAGATTACATTTCTTCAAAAGAATAATGAAATCAACGAGATACAACAGAAACAGATATACACGTTTCAGTCTATCTTCTCATAAATAATAACTATCAACAAATATAAGAATATCACCTGCACCACGAAATTACGCCTTTCACAATCCAAGAACATATTGATAGTGTAATTTGTCTTTGATGCAATCTTGTCCCTAACAGTCGAAAAACTAATCTGGTCTCTGGAAGTAAAACGATCCACTTCGTTAAACCAAAGACAGGTGAAGAGGTTGGAGATTGGAATGTGCTCCCTTATTATAACACATCCTTCAGGAACATCTAGAAACCATATTGTCAACTGATATTAGTCCAACGTGGAATGGCAGATCTAGTCACCAAAATGAAGAAAAATAAGGAGAAAACAGGAACTGGCTGTCCTACCACTTGTAATAGGAAATTTATTGGCAGAAAATGGGGTTAAACCCTCCTTTTTATAGAAATCAATCTGGAAGTCAATGGAGGCATTTTCATACTTCCCAGCGGCCTTGTTAGCTTCTGCTTCTACAAAAACGTCAAAACGCTTATAATGCCTCGAAATTGCAAAGCTAACATTTTTCCTCCACAAGAACCTGTAATATTAGTAAAAGAAACATCAGGCAACATCTCTCTTATAGACACGGGGGCTATGGAACCAAAAAATTTCCTGTTTGAAAGTGATTAAACTATCAATGGAGCATAATGGGATAACATATTCAATTATGACCGTAATTCTATTCGTACTATTAATAAATAATGGTATATATTTATGGATATATGTTAATTAAGATACATATAGATGAATGAATAGGAATTTAGCCCACTAAATCCACTTCCTTTTAAATCTCACACCACATCAAGGAATGTGGATTCCGAAACTTCATTACGAAGAGTTACCCCCATATAATGAATTTTCTCCCTCTGATTTGATGTGAACAACAAACTAAGTCTTATTCCCAATAAATTTGAAGCCGGCTACATGATCCTTCTTTGCCATTCTACTTAGTTCATTGCTAGATCTGCTGGGAGATCATAGTAACTAGATTTGACGTTCCAAAAACTGGGGAAGCTTTAAGTGTTGTATGCTTGCTTGGGGAAGCTTTTAAGTGCGTGATTGTAAGTCACGGGACTCAAGGAATGTATGATTATCAAAGTAGATAAAAGTTGTGGGTCTTAAGAAATATATGGATAAAAATGATGTTTTGACAGCTTATAAGCATTTAAACGCTACCAAACAAGCACTATGTGTTAAAAGTTACCTTGACCCATTCACCTTCAGCTAGGAAAAAGCTTTGTGTTTGACTATCATTCCTCCACTTAGAAAAGACCTCAACTGACGAAGTAGTGTATCTTCATATATGTCAAAGATTATAAGTAAACCCATTCACCTTCAGCTAGCAAAAAGCATTTAAACGCTACCAAACAAGCACTATGTGTAGGCTTTTTTTTTTTTTTT